CTGCGATCTGTTACGCAATTTTCAGTATGCATCTCTGTTGAAAGGGAGTAATTGCTATGAACCGAAACACGTTCATTACATTGCCTTACGTAATCAACACATCGACGAGGTAGAAACGCAACTCAGCGAATCGGAGAATAATAATCTAGCCCAATTTAGTAGCGATGGGGCGAGCATTTTGACATTACATTTTAGAAGAGGATCATAAATAAAGGGTGTCTTTCAGATGCAATTCATTTTGAACGTAAATACGAGATGAGTAACTTTTACTTCAGGTTACCGAGTAAGGATGGAAGTATCAAGTATTTTCCCGGAAACACAAACAATTCTTTGAAAAATCGACTCAACAAGCGCTTGGATTTAGATGGACGATGGGAGGTTGGGATTTCCAGCATTTCGTTACCCCACGAATCGATATTGATTTCTTATCTGAAAGGATTAAAAGACACGGACTTATCGCTGAAATCGTATCGAACGGTCTCCAAAACGTCTACAAGACAACAAGTAAACATTGAAACGGATGTGATTTATGGAGATATGAACAATACGAGAATGGAAACGGTCTTTGATTTTCTGAAAATGATGTTTGAAAGAGAACACGAACTATTTTTAGATAATCTCACAGATGATCATTCGTTAGTAAATATACCGGGGAAAGAACAGATACACTTTGATTGCTTTTCAACGAGGATGCGGGTACTATGATTGTAACCTCTGAAAAGGTAGATGCGAGTACATTTGAGTCGCAGCTGCATTTTATGGTGCATGTGACGTTCGAAATAAGGTTAGATATCTGTCAACTCTTGGGATGGGTCTAGGGTGACACATACAAAGGGACTCCTGCGCAAAAGCCGGGGTCTAATCTCGTGTCTCAAATACGCGGGACGGAGTTTTCAAAAAATCGTTCAGATTCTAACTATGATGTGTTTAGATACGGATTGGCAAAGAGGACGTTCATAGGAAAGGATGATATCGCCGTCGATTGTATCGTGTTTTATCTCAACGAATATAGTTTTACATTCATCAATTTTAAAGAAAGTACCTATAAAAATGGTATGGCACCTCGCACGCTTTATCTCTATTCCAGTTTATGCACTCCGGTCATCATGGGTGATCAGACCACCGATCTGTTACGCAATTTT